TGGCTGGAATTGGAAGAGAAGGAGCAATCAATTTTTTAAAAAATTTTGTGAACTTTAGAGACTAATTTTAGTGACAAAAATTTTTGTTTCTAAACCTATTTTCCTTACAAAATCTGTCTCTAAATTTGTCTCTAATTAGTGGCTAATTTTGTTTTCTTTAAAATTAAGTGCAGCCACTAATTTCATTTGATTGTGAATTTACATTTCATTTGGTGTGAATTTACATTTAATTTGAATGTGAATTTGCGTTTCATTTGGTGTAAATTTACATTTCATTTTCTTGTAAATTTTTAATTCTCATTTTTGTACAAGACCTTTATTAAGGAGTGTCTTGGAGTGCCTTTGGTGTATCTCCATCTCTCCTTAAGTGTTTCAAGTAGTAAATCCGTTAGTACCTATGAGAGGGTCCTTGGAGGTCTTTGGTGCTTTCCAAGCTCTCACCTAGGTTTAATTGCTTTCAACGTCTAGTTTATGTTTCCTTGTCTTTAAGTTTTCATGCAATTTATGTTTTCAGCAATTTAAGTTTTCAATCAATTTATGTTTTCTTGCCATTTATGTTTTCAAGCACTTTATGTTTTCAAGCATTGATTAATTGTACACTTTAGGCACTTGCTTGTTATTTTTCTTTGAAAAATATCTTTGTGAAAATTGCTTTGTGCAAGGCAAACATACAAGGGGGTTTAGAGATTTTTACTTGAAGAGGCTTGGTTATTAAGTGGCTCTTTAGTAGCGAAAGAAAATAGAAAAAGAAAAGGCTAAAAGGAGTGAAAAACTAGTGTAACTAGCTCTCGGTTTTGGTGAGTGTTTTCCTTTAGAATTTTCAGTCCAGCCACATATTTTGTGTCTTATTTTTGTTTTTAATCTTAGCTTTGATTTTGTAATCCATTCTAGTGCCTTTGATAGGTTATCCTTTATGTGCTAGCTTTTCAAATTGTGCCTTAATTTTTTGCTTGTCAATTTTGTTGAACTCCTTCTAGTTTGTCTCATTTCATTCCACCAATTGGTGTAGCTATTCTAAATTGTGCCTTTTCAAGTTTAGCACTAATATTCCAGCAATTGAAGGTGTGTTGAGTGCTTCTTGAAAGGTGTAGAAGGCCAAGTCAAAGGAAGTCAACTTTGAAGGCTTTGGTGGTTGCTTAGGGAGCTTGTTCTCTCTTAGAAAGCTTAAGAAGTATCAAGGAGCCGAAGATCTAGGGAGGAAATTGAAGGGATTTCCACATCAATCCGGATTCTCAATAAGATTTCCATCAAAAGCCCTTTCCACTCAATCTAGCCTTAATCATGCATAAATCATGGAATCAATGTGATATTTCAAACCGATACATACTAGATTAAGTCTTATAAGTACTACCTTTACCTTAGAAACTTCAGAAATGCAAGATTCCACTAGATCCTCAAATCTCAACTCACACTTTAATCCCCCTTTTCAAGGCTTTAGAGGCTAAATCTCTTGAAACTCTAGTTGTAAAGATTGATCCTGGCTTGATAAGCTTCCCAAATGTGTCCTCAGCTTCCCTCCAGACCAGAGTTTCTCTCTCTACTTCCTCTCTCTAGAAAGTATCTCTATTTTACAAATGAAATCCTCCGGTCCTAAGTCCCTATATATAGCCATTTTCCAAAATTTCCAAATTTCACCCATAGAACCTGCATACACACCTCAAATATCCTATTCCTTGCAGTATTTCAACTTCCTAAGCTCTAAAACAACGTCAAATTCACTCAGAAAGACCAGATTTATCTTATTTTCCTATCCTTCAATCTCCTACCAATCCTATTCCTTTCCATGCAATACTCACAACTCACCACCTTATGAAATGCAACATGTATTAACATGCAAACAAACATCACATTCATATATATATTCTTGGAATAATGAGTTGCATGTCATAATACTTCACTTAACTAAGATAAGAAGGAAGGTGATCAGTCTTCTTCCCTCTTAGTACCAATTTAGTATAATGGTGTACAATGTATCATTCACGACACTCATGCATACACATGCCTATATAAACATCTTAAAACAAAGATATCTCGTTCTATACTACAAAATCACTACCATGCCCAAACAACTAATCAAAACCACATAATTATACAACATGCATAAACATAAGTACATTTCAAATCCACACCTCCAGAATCCAATCCAAATCCCTATAAACAATAGACACATACATATATACATACATATATATATATATATATATATATACATAAAGTATATCTACCAAATAGTTCAATATTTCCATGGCATTACAACTCTCCCCAAAAATAAAATTTTTCGTCCCCGAAAATTCACTTACTCAAAAAGAGATATGGGTATTGATCCTTTATCATATATTCCAACTCCCAAGTAGCTTCATTAGTAACCTCATCCTAGATAACCTTTACCAATTTGATAGATTTACCCCGTAACTGCTTAACTTTCTTATCTACTACTGAAACTGGCTGTTTCTCAAAAGTTAAATTCTCCTTAACTTGCACTACATCTGATTCTAAAACATAACTTGGATCATGAATATACTTCCCCAGCTGTGAAACATGTAACACGTCATGCAAATTAGACAGGAATGAAGGTTATGCAATCTGATATGTCACTGATTCAATCCTCTTGAGATCTGATACGGCCCAATAAACTTAGGATTCAACTTCTTAGCTTTGATAGCCCTTCCCACACCTAGAGTAGGAGTCACCTTCAAAAACACATGCTCTCCCTCTGAAAACTCCAAAGGTTTCCTCCTCTTGTCTACATAAGATTTTTGCCTACTTTGAGCAGCTTTCATTCTTTCCTGAATTTGTTTCACTTTTTTGGTAGTCTGTAAGATGATCTCTGACCCCGCTATCATTGATTCTCCCTCTTTAAACCAACACAGAGGTGTTCAACACTTCCTCCCGTACAGAGCCTCAAATGGTGCCATCCCTATACTTGCATGAAAACTGTTATTATAAGTGAACTCGACCAAAGGCAACATTTCTTCCCAACTCCCTAGATGACCCAAAATACAAGCCCTCAACAAGTCTTCCAAAGATTGGATAATCCTCTCAGACTTCCCATCAGTTTGTAGGTGATAAGCAGAACTAATTCTCAACTTAGTCCCTTACGCCTGGTGCAAACTCTACCAAAATCGAGATGTAAAATGAGGATCCCTATAAAAAATGATACTAGAGGGCACACGATGTAATCTAACTATCTCCTTGATATACAACTGAGTTAACTTTTCCAAGCACCATTTTACATCCACGGGAAGAAAATGAGCACACTTAGTAAATCTATCCACAATCACCTAAATAGAATCACAATTCTTAGCAGACCTTGGCAAACCAACAACAAAATCCATGGCGATACTATCCCATTTCCGTTCAGGCACTTCCATCATCTGTAACAAACCTCCTGGTTTTTTATGTTCTACCTTAGCTTTCTGACACACAATGCAAGATGCAACATACTCAGCTACCTCCCTTTTCATACCATTCCACCAAAACATTTTCTTCAAATCTTGCTACATCTTTGTCATCCCTGGATGTACACTCAACTTGCTCTTATGACCTTCTTCAAGTATCAATTTCTTCAACTCTTCATCTTGTGGAATACAAATTCTGCCCTGGTACCTCAGAACCCCATCCATATCTTGCTCAAATCCTTTAGCTTTCTCAGAACCCAACAACTTTCTAACCTTATTCAAACTAGCATCTTGAACTTGTTGTTTTTTCACCATCTCCAAAAAATCACTATTAATGGTAGTCATGCCACAACTAATAAAATCTGGGGCAATCACAACATTAAGATTCATATCCCTGAATTTCTCTATCAACTCCATCTCTTTAACCATCATGTAAGACATACGAAGAGATTTTCTGCTCAAAGCATCTTCCACCACATTCACTTTACTTGGATGGTACATTAGCTGAAAGTCATAATCTTTCAAAAACTCAATCCACCTCCTTTGCCTCATGTTTAACTCTTTCTGATCAAACAAATATTTTAGACTCTTATGATCACTGAACACATCAAACTTAGCTCCATAGAGATAATGCCTCCAAATCTTCAAAGCAAAAACCACCGCAGCCAACTCCAGATCATGTGTAGGATAATTCCGTTCATGAGTCTTCAACTGCCTAGATGCACAGGCCGCAACCTGCCTGTCTTGCATAAGAACACATCCTAAACCTTGATGAGATGCATCACAATAAACCTCAAATGATTTATTAGGATCTGGCAGAATCAATACAGGAGATGACGTCAACTTCTCCTTTAACTCTTGAAAGCTCTTTTCACACTCTTCCGTCCATACAAAAGGATGATCCTTCCTGGTCAACTGTGTCAAAGGCATAACTATTTTAGAAAATCCTTTTATGAATCTCCTATAATAGCCAGCCAATCCAACGAAACCTCTAACTTCAATAACTGATTTCAGATGCTCCCACCTCAAACTCGCTTCCACCTTAGTAGGATCAACTGCTATTCCTTGTGCAGAAATCACATGACCCAAGAACTTAACTTCAGATAACCAAAAATCACATTTTGAAAACTTTGCAAATAACTGTTTCTCTTTCAACACTTGCAAAACTATCCTCAATTGTTCTCTATGTTCCTCCATAGATCCAGAATAAACCAAAATGTCATCAATGAACACCACAACAAACTTATCTAGAAAGGGTCTGAAAATCCTGTTCATATAATCCATGGAAATAGCTGGAGCATTCATCACTCCAAAAGGCATAACGACATACTCATAATAGCCATACCGAGTCCTGAAAGCAGTCTTTGGTATGTCCTCCTCCTTTACACGAATCTAGTGATACCTAGACCTCAAATCAATCTTGGAGTAAATAGAAGCTCCCCTCAACTGATCCATCAAATCATCTATCCTTGGCAATAGATACTTATTCTTGATTGTCAACTTATTTAATTGCCTGTAATCCACACATAACCTCACACCACCATCCTTCTTCTTTACCAATAACACAGGTGCTCCCCACGGAGACACACTAGGTCTGATCATCTACTTCTCCAAAAGTTCCTCAACCTGTTTCTTCAATATAGAAAACTCTGCTGGTGCCATTCTATAAGGAGAAATGGACACTGGTCTCGCCCCAGGTATTAGATCAATACTAAACTCCAACTCTTGCTTTGGTGGTAACCCTGGAACATCATCCGGAAAAACCTTTGGAAAATCTCTAACAACATCAATACTATTCAACAACTTTTCCTTCTCTAAACTCATGAAAGATAAGACAATAAACCCAAGAGCCCCACCCTTCAACAAACCACCCGCCTGTCCACTAGAAATAAATCTCTCCTAGTCAACAGTAGGAAAGATTAATCTCCTCTCTGAACAATCTATCGAAATCCTATTGGAAGAAAGCCAATCCATCCCTAAAATCACATCCAAATTGGGTAAAGGTAAACAAAACAAATTCACTCTATAACTACTCCCTTCCACTTCCACTGGACATCTCAGAAAAACCTCAGAAGTCAAAACAAACCCTAAAGCTGGGGTAGAAACGACTAGATCCACACACAAAGAACTCACAACCAAATTTAACCTTGCCACACATTCATAAGAAATAAGGGAATGTGAAGCACCAGAATCAAATAGAATAGAAATATCATTACCATCAGCTTTACCCTTTCCCTTTACCAACTCAGATGACGTTTCAGCTTCAACACTTGTTAGAGCAAAGACACGACCTACTGCAGTAGTCCCTCTAACTTGGGTATTTCTTACATTGCAATCCTTAGTCATGTGACCTACCTTGCCACATTTAAAACACACATAATCCTTTATAGGGCAATCCCTCATCATGTGTGGGCCTCCACATTTGAAAATATGAAACTCTGAACAACTCCTGTAGTAGTAGTCCCCACTGGTTTCTTATTAGCGTTCCCTTTCTTTCCCCCTACCAAATCCAGATGATCCCTCTGGACGCTTTGCCACTTTATTTCCTCCTTCAAACCTCTCAACTATTTTTTTCCTTTTCAACTAGAACTGGGAACTCCACAATTTCCATAGAAACAATAGTCTTTTTCAACTCATACCTTAAACCCTCACTAAATTTCCTACATCTCCAAGCTTCAGTGATAGCTTGAGAATAGTATCTAGCCAAGTGTTCAAACTTGACCACATACTCTTCTACTGACATATTCCCTTGTTGTAGTCTCAAAAACTCAGTTTCCTTAGCATACTTGGTGCTATCTGGAAAATATTTCTCCAGAAACACCTTTTTGAAGTTCTCCCAATTTACCGCTTCCCCTCTAGCTTCCATCATAACTTGAGCACCTTTCCACCAGAAACTAACCTCACCCACCAACATGTAAACAACATAAACTAACTTCCTTTCCTCAGGACAATGCATCACCATGAAGATTTTCTCCATCTCCTCAATCCATTGGTCAGCAACTTCAGGCCCGTCAACACTTGTAAATTAAGGAGGATTCCCTTTTCTGAACTCTGACAAACCCCTGAACTCATCAGGTACCTCAGCCCTAGCTTCTTCAGCTGCAACCCGGTTGGTCTCCATCTAAGCCAACAAAGTATTTTGTTGTCTAATAGCAGGAGCAATCAGCTCCATAGCTTGAGCAATTTGTTGCTCATCCACGCCTGAAGAAGGATTAAAATTGTTTCCCCTACCAACCATCCTAATCAGATAAAAGATCAAGGAACCTATGAGTTTACACTAAAACACATAAGTAATTCCTTTTCAAAATCCATTTCCTCACAACAGAAACACAACAAGACCATTTCCCACAAACCCTAAAGAGACTTGATCAGCTCTAATACCAACAAGTGTAACGACCCGCCCTAGGCCGTCACATCAACAACCAATAAGATACCTAGAATAAAATAATATATAAAAAAGAAAAGAAAGAGAAAATGCCAGTTACACTAGAGTGAAAATATTTTAAAACGTGTAAATTATTTTCATCATATAAAACAATTTTATAAGAAAGATATCACCAATAAGGTTATACAGTCATCCAAAAAGATAGTATAATTACAGCATCATGAAAACATCAAAATAAGACACCCTAGGTGTTGGTCAAGCTCTAAGTCTAGCCACTTCTCAAAGCAGCTACCAAAAGACTCCTTGCCATCCTAAAGCCTCACACATGATCTGCTCCCCCACATAGTGAGATCATCACAGTCCACATCATGGAAAATATAAGGGTTAACATGTATAAAACCAGCTGTCGCCACCGGCCCGAAACGGGCTTTCGGAATTCGCGATTTTATGGAAAGGATGATGTTGAATCATACCTTGATTGGGAGATGAAAGTTGAGCAACTTTTTGCTTGCCACAAGGTAAGTGAAGAAAGGAAAGTCCATCTGGCTACCCTTAGCTTCCAAGGGCATGCCATGTATTGGTGGACAACTCTAGAAAGAGAGAGATGCCTCCATAATGATCCTCCAATTCAATATTGGAATGATCTTAAGAGTGCTATGAGGAGGAGGCACATTCCCACCTACTATGGAAGGGAGCTTATGAATAAGCTCCAAAGGCTCCAACAAAAGGATATGTCAGTAGAACAGTACAGGCAACAAATGGAGTTTTGAATGATGAGGGCTTGTATAAGGGAAGAGGAAGCCACTACAGTAGCCAGATTCATGAGTGGTCTTAACTTAGAGATTAGAGACCAAGTGGAGCTACTACCCTACAGGGACCTAAATGACTTGGTCCAACTTTGTGTAAGGGTAGAACAACAAATATTGAGAAAATCTTCTAAAAGAGAAAGCTCCCACTCTAGATCTCTTAAGAAAGACTACATGGAGGAAGAAAAACCTTTTGAAAAGAAAATTATTTCAGAACCCTCCAAAGAATTGGCTAAAAAGAAAGAGAAAAATAAAGAAAAGGATAAAGATCTCATCACTCCACACTTCTTACTCTTCTTACACTTACACTTACACTTCTTACTCTTCTTACTTCTCTTTTCTCCACCACTTGAAAACCTCTTTATTAATTGTTTGGCCTCTGTTTTAAGTGCTTATTCTCTGTATTCAAAGAAAAGAAAGAAAAGAAAGAGACAAAAATACAAGAAAAATAAAAGAAAACAAAAAAGAAAAACCTAGAAAAAGAAAAGTGAAAACAAAACTCTAATAGTAACACTTGGCCTTGAATTTTTGTGTGAATTTTCTTGAGGTTTTCTTGATGTCCAGTGGTTGGAAAAAGATTTTAAAATACTTAAAATCATAGAACAATTTTTTTTTGTTTTTATAATCCATTCTAGAGCCATTCCTAGGGTTATTCCTTTATGTGCTAGCTTTGAAATAAACCCTTAATTGTTGCTTTGTGTCTTCTTGGCTTTCTTTGTTTTGTCACATTAATTCCTATAAGAGTGTAGCCTATTCTAATTGTGCATTTTCAGTTTTGATTTCTTGGCCTCTACTCTCTCTTGTTGATTGTTAAGCCTTGGTGGGACATAACTCTTTTTCAAGCCATTACACTTGGAAGGAAGAGTTAATTGAGGCACATTGGATTAATCTCAAAGGACACTTGAAGAAGATTGAGGTACAGATTACTTGAGTGAAACACCTTGGAAAGGCTCACTTGTTTGTTCCTTTTTGCAGCCAAGAATTGTTTTTAATTTTAGGTCAAAATTAGAGACGGATTTTGGAAGGACTTGGAGACGAATTTGAAGAACTAGTGACGGATTTGGAAGCCTAGAGACGGATTTGTGGAGACCAATTTTCCACCTTCAAATTGGTCATTCATCTTGACTCCAAGGCTATTCCAAGCTTGTTCCCGACCTCCCTTGGTGGAAGTTCTTCAAGAATTCTTGATTTTTGTTGCTTCCTTTGTTTGTAACTCCTTAACCCTGCCTTGGGTTAACTTTTAATTTCCTTTGTTAAGTCAAACCTATATTTTGGAGTGGTTGTTTGGGAAAACTCTTTGATTAAGTCCCACCACTTCCTAAATAGTTCTAAATAAAGATTCCTAGATACGTTTAGTACTTGTGGAAGGGTCCCCAAAAGGCTTCAAGTGTCATTTGGGCTTCCACTAGGAGACGCCTAGTTTACTTGCTTTCATAAACCGTTTAGGACTTGTGGAAGTGTCTCAAGGGATTCTTAGTGAGACTTGGACTTCCACCCTAGGACCATACGACTAGTGTATGCTTTACTTGCTTTCCTTTAACTTGTTTTAATTCTAAGCTCGTTTAGAAGGCTTCCTTTGCCTAATAGGGGTTGCGTGCACACACACACAACTACTTGACTTGCTTGTGTGAAAAATTTGTTTTGTGAGACAAGTATATGGGGGTTTAGTAATTTCCACTTGAAAAGGCTTGGTTATTAAGTGGCTCCTTGTAGCTCACCTCCCTTGATAGTGCAACTTGTATACTTAGACCTCCAAATACTTAGTCTTACACCAAAAAGAAAAACTCTTTGTGAAAATCTTTATCACTCACTTTGCAAAAT